TTATTTAGGGTAAAAGAGTTCTAATATGATGCATTGAAAAATGTGTATTTTTAGCAGAAAAATGCATTGGATAGATGTGGAGTGTTTGGTATTAATTTTGAAATAGAAACTGGGACCGAGTTTCAATTTGGTAAAGCGAAACTGAATCTCCCCCAATAGTTCTACGATGACATGAGAAGTTTCAGCGTTAATAGGGAATAAAATTTGGCAAGTGAAGTCCCAACAAAATTCGTTGTTCTGGCACCACACTTTATTATCAATGTAGTCCCTTTCGCTTAATTTGTTGTCCAAAAACCACAACATCAAACAATATAAAGCTTAAATGATCAGTACAAGGGGGAAATTTCAATTATCAATATTGTGCACTTTTAGTTCTGGAACTTCCTTAAAGGTTTTCTTTAATGAACAGAAGAAGAATGCAATAGATTTTGTGCTTTAACAGTATAAATCAAAACAAAATGTTGCGCCAATTGTAGAAAATGAATATTGCAACGTATACAAAATGGCAAACGTATCTAATAGCAATTGGCTACAACTGGGTCATTATCATATTCTCATATGCATAAACCTACTACAACAAATTACAAATGAAGCTGTAATTTGTCATACCCAACAATGTAGTGAATGCAACATATTGCAACCGCTGTAGATGGATTGGGATATCATTCCCAATGTCATGATGAATTATAGGAAAAAATGAAGGCCAATTTTTTTCCTCAATGACAATTCCAGCTGACGAAGGGAAAACAGAAGGAGTAATATATTAAACTCTACATAAAAAGGACAAAATAAAAAATGAATTCAATGAAAATGTAGATATCACGGATTACTTCGTGCAATTGCATCCTCCCTCCTTTTGAGTTCCTGCACGTAAAGTAAAGGGTTATTAATTAAAATTAAGTAATAAAAAAAGCCTTCTGAACTGAAATATAAATCTTTCAATGCAGTCAACTAAACCTACAGAACACAAACATAGATATTACATGCACTTACACAACACATACACACAGAGAGAATAAAAGAGAAAGAAAGGAACCCACATAGATAATCCACGCATCTGAAAAATTAAATACAGAATAAGGAGAAACCTATGTTACTCAAATATTTTGAATAACTGCACAACAAACCTAGCAACAGTTCTGTCATCTATTGAATGAATTCAAATAAACATTACAAAGTGATCACCATTAAGAGTATCTTAAGAAGAGGTGTTTTTCCTAAATTTTGGTACAATATTGCAAATACATGCTATCTAATTCAACCATACTCAGAGGCGACAAGTTATAAAGCTTACATGTTCCCTCTTTTTCAGTTCAACCTCCTTAGATTGAAGTTCGTTCTCTTTCTTCTTCAAATCCTACAAAAGGTTTAAAAGGAAACGGTTATCTTCACCTCTCATACTTTTGGTTTCCCTACCAAATGTTTACTTTATTAATATTAACAAACATTGGCACTATCAAGAGAAATGTCAGATGTTGCCCCATGGTCGTAATCAGCAAGTTCATGAGGAAGTGGCGAAAGCCTGGAGTTTGAGTTTGCAGAGGGAAACCTCTGAAATATCAGCAAACGGTATATCAGGTAAAAAAAAAAAAGGTAACCAAGAAAGGCTTATCCAGTAAGAATGAACACTCATGCTTAGTCAAGTGTGTGGGAGGGAGCCGAGAGAGATAGAAGGAGACACTCACATGCATAAACACATTCCACACACACACACACATGTAAACTGCCAAACATTGAGAAGCTTCTGATATATATTCGATCCAAATAAAAAAAGTATGATGGGGCACGGAAATTTTACTTTAAAGCCAACAGAGAATTAATAATAAGAGACACAATCCTGGATCTAGCAAGCTTATAACAAATGAGATGGAGAAATATGTAACGTCCTTAATCACATATCCTAGTGCCTTTGAATTGTGGTAGACACACTACCAGTCTGAATACAGAATCAACAAGGGCGAGATGCGGGAGCAAGGGCCACCAACAGTATCAGTATTTATAAAGTCCAAAGTAAATATAAATTTGTTCTATCGAGAATGATAGTATGCTTACTGGCATGTAAAATGCACCTCCTGAGTAGTTTGATTGACCCTTCCCAGGTCCTTGGTCCTGCAAGGAAAAGAACACCCAGGAGAAAGAATGAATATTCTCATACATGTTGGTCGTCAAAACTGAAGAAAGGTAGAGAGAAGAAAATCCGTGAATCATGATAATGTGGAACTTACTATTCCCTTTGTTCATGCCATTGGCTACATTAGAAACGGCCTAACAATCTGAATCCTCGAAAGTACAAAACATGGCGTATGAACTTATGGGACATAAAAATCATCTCACCCTATCATCTAATTTCACTTTACATCTATGCAAATTTTTCTTTTTAAGTTCAATAAGTTAAACACCACAACTCAAAGTGCGGATTAATTATAAAATGACTACACCAACTTTCATCATACGGCTGTACCACATGGAAATTCTTTCAACTATATTGAGTTTGGTTAATGGACAACATACACAGAACTAGGAAGCCATTACAATGCCATGAGAAAACGAAAAGTGTAGCATAAGTGTGCCACAAAAAGTGCAGTTGAAATCCTAAAAGCAAATAATGACATCAACAATGCTATATCTGTTTCTCTGGCCCTTTAGTCTCAAGGGATAAAAAAGAGCATCACCCTAGCAATAATCTATAACACAATGAATCATATATACAACACAACATACAAATATGACGTAGTCAGATAAAACGATCACCATCATTGCTACATCGTTTTAACACACATTGTCATCGAAATAATAGCTCATGGAAAATTTGTCACGATAAACACATATGAGAATGTCAGATAATAATAATGCATGGGATTTAGGAATATCAACATAGTTGTTGATTACCGCGAATGGGTTCACTTCCTCGTCATCAAACAAATTTGGATCTGTACGGCGGGCCATGACAAAAAACTTCCTTCAGCGAAAACCAGAATTTTACGACAGCGTCCGAAATATTGCACACAGATCTGAACAATGTTGTCAAACTGATTGTTGTGTTCAAGCAGGTTTTAGTGGAAAATTTGTATAATATTTGTTCGTATTTTAGATATGTAAAAGATAAGGTGTTAATGTAATTTATAGGATGAAGTTTCTGTGTAATTTGATACCTTCAAGAGAAAACAAGATGCAAAAATGGAGGATGTAAGTGAGAGGAATTTTAGAGAGAGAAACGAGAGAAAAGGTAAATAGAGAGAAAATTTGGCATAACTAATTCTGCCATTCCCAAATGCAAAATGTCCAACATAAAGCATCTTTTGGAACTACCTTGGTTACATCATAAATCCACGTAAACATAAATTAAAAGAAATAAATAACTAAGTTGGGGCCTTGTAGCTGAATCGACCCAACTCCCGCAGCTTCATCCTATTGCAGCTGGACCTTATCACAATCGGGCCCATCGGAATTCTTTAGCACCAGTACTTCTAAATCACCCGACCCAACTTGACTGTCTATATGCCGCGCCCCTTGAGCCAATTTGATCATCTTCTCTCCTCTTTTGATTTCTGGGAACCCTAAGGATATGTTTGGTTCAATGAAGGGAAAGGGTGGAGAGGGATTTTAATAGAAGGGAGGGAAGGGGAGGGGAGGGGATGTAAAATATTTTACCTTGTTTGAAGAAATTTTGTAGGAGAGGTGAAGGAAAATGGTAAACCTTGTTTGGTTAGAAAATGAAAGAGAAGGGAAAATAATGTTGAATTGACTATTTTGCCTTTAATGATATAAGAGATAAAACAATAAAATAAACTTATTATTAAGGACAAAAAAATAATTTCACCTCTTTGCACTTTCCTTCCCCTCCAAATCCTCCCAATTTTGGAGGGGAGCCATATTCACTATTTGGAGGGATTCTTACTTAAAATTTTCCTTCCCTTCCCCCTTGAAAAAATGAACCAAACAAGTGAAATGTAAAATTTTCTCCCCCCTCCCCTCCCCTCCCCTCCAAAACCCCCCAACCAAACACTACCTAATTCATCTCTGACCAATAGATTCACAACACTGATTAACACCAAATATGGTTTTTAGACAACTTTTTTTGTTCTTTTTTTTTTTCCTTTTGAAAATTCGTGGGAAAAAAGAAGAAACTTCGTGGGAAACAAGAAGAGAGACTTGTCGAGAAATTTATTTTAGATTTGGGCAAGGTCCTCCTCTTTTCAATACATCATAAAATTCAACATGAGGCCATAATTTTTTCGAATACATTAATTTTTTTTTAGTTTGATCTTTATTTAATATCTTTTATAGTTTTTTTATTTAATAATAGAGAATGTAATATAATAATGAACAAATCTCACTCTCTTATATATAGGAAGATGATACCTTGTTGCCCAAACTACCTGGATGGGCTGCTCAAATTGCCCGAGCTGCCCGAACTACCCGATAGTACAACCCGAACTATCCAAACTTCCCGAACTGTCCAGTTATGTTATGTCACGTGACTCTATCCACGTGTGACTCTTAACTCCTAGATTCCTTCATATCCATTAGTCTTTTGTATGAGACTACGTAATGGTGCGACTAACTCGAAGTCTGCTGAGGTAGAATGTTGTCCGTTCTGAGACTAAGTGTCGTCCTTTCTGGTCGATCGTACAACCAGCCATACCTACAGGTCGAACTTTCCATAGGCCACCCGAGGGCGTCAGCTCAACCTGTCGTTGTCTCCATATGCCCCTTGTGCTGTCTTCGATCCGAAGGCTCCTGGACATGCATTGGTGGTGTTCGGCCGCTCACGGTCTCTTTACTCTTCTGTTCGACCAGCCTGTTCACTCGGCTTGGTTAGTCGGTTAATTGGGTTTGTTCTACCAGGGTCTGGTATTCCATATCAGGGTGTTTATACCTCTTGGTTGCATCTGTAATTGTAATTTCAAAGAGTTGTTCGAGACTTTGTTATGATTCTAGTAATGTCCTTTGACATCTTGATTAAATGATTATACTCTTATATTAACATATTTATAGCTTT